AAGTCTTTTCAGTTTAACCTTTTATTTTTGACTTAAAATTACTTCTTTAAACCAATCCAAATGGGCTCTAATACTATATATATTCACATATTTTAAACATGAAAAAAAGTATATATATATATATATATATATTATTTTTATTTTTTTTTATTTTATATTTCTTTTCTTTTTTTGGGAATTTCTACCATGTAATAAAGATCCAACTAAGAAAAGCATCAGCATCCATCTTCACTTTGTCTTCTCCCATTATGTGTGTTTACCCAAAAAAAGTCGGTGTAACAATCCTAACGTCACTTTTTTCACATGAAGACACTATCCTTTGTAAAGAATGAAAAAAACAAGACTTTCAAATGATAATATCGTCACGTGATCAGGAGGTCAGGAAGTTGAGTTGTGAACCTTTTCTTTTTTAGAAATAAATGAGTATTGCCTGGAATAGGATATTGTAATTTGATATTCTTTTCAGATCTTGCACATAGCGAGAGTTTAGTGCACCCAACTATTCTATTTTTCAGAAAAATATGCTCAAAAGAGTTATTTCTATATACTTAAAAGTTCTAATAATACCAATTTAGTTTAGAGATTATTATATGCATGTAAGTAATGTCTATCAAAAGTGAAATTAGTAACGTAGAATTTTTTTTTTTAAAAAAAAACATTACCTATTATGACGTGTTAGAAGTAGTGAAGTGCAGAGCTGTGTTGATTAAAAGGTAATTAATTAAATATATTAAATTTTGAAAACTCTTATAATAAATTTTTTGACTTCGTAATGGTTCTTGAAAATGACGATGGAAAATTTGAGAGGATAAGTAATTTAATACATTGTCAAAAAGCTCCGAGCTAATTAAATTTTCTCCGTTGCTAATCCACGCTATAAAATTTTTGTTGTCACTATTTTTTTTATTTTTTAGATGTGAATTTATTATGAAAATAGAAATGAAAGGATATTTTCGATAAATCTTCGACTTTCACGTAACCTTAGTAACTATAGCAAACGTGCCATACTTTAGTTGTTCTTTTATGATCGTAATCAATTCCATCTCCACTCCACTATGTGATGATAACAAAAGACACACTCAAGAGTTGTATACTCCCTTCGTTTTAATTTATTTGATTTATTTTCTTTTTTAGTTCGTTTAAAAAAATAATTTATTTTTTAATAAATTTTGTATTTCAATTTTCTACATAATAGATTTAAGATCATAGTATTAATAACTATTTTAATTTTATTATATCTTTAATTTAAAATTATAAAATTTTAAAAAAATAATTATTTTTAAAAAAATTCCGAGTCAAATCAAAATAGGTCATTAAACGAAGCAACTAAGCCAAAGGACAAATAAGTGGCTCAATTATCAAAGAAGTGTATCATCTTACAAGGAATATATCCTATTCTTCGGATAACTTTTGCAAAAATAGTAATTCCTTATTCTAAAAGATTTTTGAGGTGTTATCTGGACAAGTTATATGAATATCCTAATGTGTAAATTATGATATGAATATTAAAATTAATGAAATCTTTTAGTGAATATACTTATATGGAATAATAATATTTTTTTGATCTCCTCATTTGTCGTTAAATAAGAAGTAAAAGTTTATTCTTTTATATTTTACTTAGTTATCAAATTCATACTAAAAAATCTTTTTTTAACACCCTTATGAGAGAAATTAGTTAGTTTTTTGTTTATTTCCCATTCAATATGCAATATCTGCATGGAAATCTGATTAAATTTGAATTCGTGTATTAGGGAATTATTTCTGAAAATAACGTTCCAACAAAAAAATCATAGCAGGGGTGGCCTAAATATAAGACCACTAGCTAAGAGCAGGGGCGGATCTAAGGGTACGGGTGGGAGTGCCACGGCACCCAGTAATTTCGGAAAAATCTTTGTATATATATGTATCAGAAATTAATATATATTAACTTGGTCACTCATTGAACAAAGTGATGAATGGTTCAAGTGGCGAAGGGCATGATATGCCATACGTGTGAAGCTTTTTTTTTTATTAATGTGTGAAGGGCTTTAGTTTTTTTTCTTCCATTCATTCTTATTTATTTACTATACTTTATTAATTCAAATTGACTCATTTTCACTGTAGTTAATTCTTAATTTTTTTAACTTTCACTAGTTATTGATAAATATTATTAAGAATGTATTTAAATAGTTATTTTTAAAAAATATAAGTTTTAAAATGATGAATATTATTACTAGAGTTCTTTCAATCTAAAGATTCTTTCTATCTTCACCGACATTCTTGCTAAGTAAGAAGACTAGGTTGAAACTACTATGTTATTATCTCTACTATATATCTGCAACAACACATAAAGTCAATGGAATATGAATATATTCAGTTAACACTATAAGATGGTTTATACAAGCTCAAATTTTAATGTGAAAAAAATTATGTTTTCCTCAAAAGTCCAAGTGAATAAGGCCTTTACTTCCTAAAAAAAATATTGAATTGTTTAGTTATCTCGAATCACAGAATATCTCAAAGAAAATATTACTAACATGCATGTTTGATCGATTTGTTTATAAAAATCGAAAAGAATAATAACCCGAATTGTAACCCAAAATTAAAGCAACCGACCCGTTTATCTAACTTGAATGATGTGGCACCCAGGACCTCCAAATTCTAGATCCGACTCTGACTAAGAGTGGAGGACTTCTGAACCATCTCACCACAATCTGCGATGAAATTAGTTAGTTGGTTGATGGTGTGGATACACAGCTTTTTTCTTATTTGGTGTCCAATTTCTTCTTCCCACAAGTCATTTTCAACATATAGAACATCTTAATATTATAGTATGATATATATCTATCAAGTGACTCACTTCATATTCATTATCAATTTTAAATTTATCCTTTTTCTTTTAATTTATTTAGTATTATAATTAAGATATCCATCAAATGAATTTGATCACAAAAAAAATTGTTGTATTATCCACTTTAAACAATGAAGATAATTTTGAAATATTTTCCTCCCTCCAATTGCGTGATAGTTAATGAAAACATAGATTCCCACGCCTTTATGAAAATAAAATAATAAAATTGGTCCCATGCTATAATAGCTACTAAGGTTCTATTCAGTTGGTTTACAATAATTGATGGCATTTCTCACTCACCCTACCCCACATAATAATAATAATAATAATAATAATCATCATCCATCTATTTCATATTTAACTGAATTTATGAGATAATGCACATTTATCAAGAAAAATATTTAAGGACATAATTTAAATCATATTTTCTAGTTTCCACTATTATTCTTTGTGAAATCATAAAGAGATGTAACTTTATAAATAGTGCAATTTGTCTCCTAGAAATTATCAAACTTCATTAAAGGAAAGGATAAATATGGAAAAAATTTCAAACACATCGTAAACTTTGAACAATTCAATTATTTTAAACAATGAAAAACTCTCCAAAAATCCAGTTAATATAAAATAGCGGAAGTAGTAAATTTAAGAAGACAAGTATTGATTTGGTTATTATGAATAGCAAGGTGTGTTGCTTCACGTCCATTGATCCCTAATTGAATTTGTGAAAAATCATAATTGTTGAAGCGATCGCAATTTAAAATGCTGTGAAAAAGCAATACAAAATAGATAGAGGAAATTTTATATATATCTTTTCTAAAGTGAAAATTGCATAGTAAATATATTAAAGAAAAATATGAAGGCTATTTGAAACTGAATATAACATGAGAAGATATATAAAACATGTTTTCATATGTCTAGATCATATATATATTGTGTTTATAATTTGCTTTTTAATATTTTTTGAAAAATAATCACTATTTTGCAATTTTCAATTGTACAAGTAAAACTTCAAAGATATAAGAGTGACTATTTCTACTTATAAAAAATCAGTTTCAAATTTTAATTAAAAAAAAATATTTGTGAATTATCACTAATTGAACATCAAACAACTTCAACAACCACTCTTATTATGTTTTATCTTATCCATTATTAATTTCTAGTCAATGATAATTGATAAGTGTTGAGTAAGCAATGGCTATTATGCTATTATAATAAATTAAAAGCTTTGAAAGTAATACTCACATTAAAGAAAACATGAATCATTATATTGATGCCATCTCCAAAAAAAAAAAAGGCACAAAAGATTAGGAGCCATTTGACTACGAATAAGATAAAAATTTGAAATGTTTAAATAATATCTAAAAATTATTTTAAATAAATGTTTTTTATTAAAATAATACATTATTTCAACTTGAAAAAAAATGTTTTAGGATTATTTTTTTTAATTTTACATTTACAAAATTCGTCTTTATATTAATATTCAATCACAATTAATCATATAAACTTTTTAACTTAATTTTAAAAGATAAGGGTCTAAAAAATATCTCAACTTTGATCGAATTTGTTGTTGCGATACTAAACTTTCATGAGGACCTATTACCTCCCTAGACTATTTAATATCATATTTTAAACATATATATTAGTCCACGTGGACATAAAAAACAATGCAAAATTATAAATAGTAATGTGTCCACGTGGGCACATATATATCTTTAAAATACACTATTAAATAGTTCAGGGTGTAAAAAATACGATATTAAATAGTCTAGGGAGGTAATAGGTCCTTATAAAAGTTTAGTATCGCAACAACATATCCGACTAAAATTGAAGTATTTTTCAGACCCTTATCCCTAATTTTAAATGTATATTTTTCGAAGTTTAATCAAATTATGTCATGACCATCTCTGCCTTCACAAATTTTTACATGTAGTAACATAACCTAAGGTAAGCTTGTAACTTGTGAGTTGTAAGGCAGAACATGTACAAATTCAAACGAATTTTGATAATTTTCTCTTAAATGTTATATTTGTATAAAAAAATCATCAAAGTAGAGATAAATATTAATTGTAACTCGAGTAACTTAAACAAGCTACTGAAAATTTTCATAACTTATACACTTCAAATTTTGATTCCGCCAAAAAAATGCAATATCAAGTCTATACTGTACATATTCAAGAAAAAAAAACAAGTACTTTTCCATTTATCCAGTAAAACTGAAACATATATATAGGAAAAAGTACAAATTACTAGTAATTAATTAAGTAGATTGAACTGATTTAGGAGAAATTGATGACAAATTATTATTATTATTATTCTTATTAACAGGCATGGATTTTGATCTCTTGAACCATGCAGTACTTGTTGTCTCACCAGAGGTACGGTGGTACCTGCACCTAATATTACCGAACATTAGTTAGTTTGATCTTCAAATTTCAAACTAAAACAATAAGAGTATATATTTTTTCCATATTCGGTAAAGACGTACGGAGAAAAAAATATCATCCAAAAATTACACAATATATATAAAGTTAAATAATTTCTTATATATATTCTTAAAAACTAAAACCATCATCTTCCGGTATTTACGTAATGTATTTTTTTAACGAACAAAACAAGTGAAGGAGGATTAAAGTACAGAGTTCTCGAAAATTCAGTAATTTTTTTTTACGTAGATAAAATATTTATTGAGAATCTAGTAACAAGTAATTTCTTGATGGGTGTTTGAAATGAAACTTGCTTAAACTTTATTGTCCTCCTTGACGATGCTTTGATTCGAATAATTATAAAAGTAAAAACTAAAAATTAATTTGAAATCACAAAAAAATTTAAAACTTCAAATCATGAATTTGTCTCTCATAACAAACAAATTCATCATCCGTAGAAATTGAATGAAAATTCTGACTTCGCCATTGATTATCCAATTAAAATTACCTGAACGACCCTCGATGGGTCGTCGGAGAGCACAAACAGTGTCCTTTCGGACAATTCGCCGGCGGGTGTGAATCTCCGGTGGAGATATCGGAGGAAGTAGTGATGACAGTGATAACTTTTTGGGAAGCCATTAGTTTTTTTTTTTTAGAGAAAAGAAAAAAAAGGCTTTCTCTAGTTGAAGAAAGACAAATGTCAAGAGGTTAGTATTTCTAGGAAAATAATTGGAGATTATATTATAATTATTATCTTTTAAGCAAATATAAATATGTGAGGTTGGAAAAAGTAATCAATTAGGTAAAGCGGTCTATTTATTTTTTGTTTTTAGTGTCCTTTCGATAATATTCTATCCGTTCATTTTTACTGTATCCATTTTGAACTTTGTACATATTTTTAATTCGTTTAAATTTAGGCGAGTTATTGACCCGTATATTTATTAGCTCAACTCATTTCAACCTATTAAATATTGGATTGATATGTAACCTCAATTGGCTTATAAGAAATTTTGTCAAAATATTTTAATTTTTTTTTTCAATTTAATATGTTAAATATAGTCATAATAAAAAAAAAAATTAAGTACTAAAATAGTTTAAAAGAACAAATAAAATAATTAAACTTAGTAAAAATTGAGTTGAGTTGGGTCTTGATCCATTATATAACCTATTACCTAACCCGTTTTAATCAAAGTAAATTTGGATTGGCTTGGATCTTGACCCGATTGTTGTTTTAACCCATTATGACCCGCCCAAATTTGACTCAACCGCCCAATTGTCATCCCTATTAATTGATAGTTTTACGCCTTGAGAAAGGATATAAAGAATAAGTAATTAATATTAAGGATAAAATAGAAACAAATAATTATTAGATTTTAATATATTAAAAATGAAGAAAATAATACAATAGTAATAGTTTTTTTTTAATTTCTTGAGCCATCCTTAAACCATGAACTATTCTTCAGAGCTAAATTAGATTCAATTTCCCTTTTTATCATAGTATATTTAATATTGAACTTTTATATTATATTGTTCATATTTCAATTGAATAATTTTTATGGAAAAGGCTCAAATATGTCATCGAATTTTTAGAAAAGGCTCATTTATGTCATCCGTTAAAAGTTTGGCTCATCTATGCCATTACCATTTAAGAAAAGGCTCATTCATGCCATTATTTTTTAACGGTGGTTTTGCAAAACCATTTTTTACACGTGGCCAATTATAATTCGGCCACGTCATTATTTTTTTTTATAATAAAAAATCAAAATTCTGAACAAACATTTTTTGCAAAACCATTTTTTACACGTGGCCAATTATAATTCGACCACGTCATTATTATTTTAATAATAAAAAATCAAAATTCTGAAAAAAATAATGACGTGGCCGAATTATAATTGGCCACGTGTAAAAAATGGTTTTGCAAAACCACCGTTAAAAAATAATGGCATGAATGAGCCTTTTCTTAAACAGTAATGACATAGATGAGACAAACTTTTAACGGATGGCATAAATGAGCCTTTTCTGAAAGTTCGATGGCATATTTGAGTCTTTTCCCTAATTTTTATTGTGGAAGAAATTGACAGATGGCACAGGGTCCTTATCTGGACCATTTCATTTCCTGCCTAGATGGTTGTGATTGTTGTTCATGGATCTGTTTTCAATAAATCAATTGACAAATGGGCCATAGGCCCATAATATTACTCATCTATTGTTGTCATATCTGCTATATTCAGAACAAATAATTTACAAATAGAAAAAAATGGATCCCTTATCCAAAGCAATCTAATAAATTTATAGTCCAATCAAGGTAAATTCATGTCAAATTTTGACGTATTAAAAACATGGCTTAAGTCATCGACCGTCCCTTAAAGTTGTCCGCAGACACCTCAACTAAGACTTGTACCTATTGAGCACCTAAATTGTTCAAAACATGTACCTACTAAACACAAAACACTGATATGGAAAAAAATATGTTTTGCACTTCCCTAAAGTGCGTGAAAAGATTCAAATTCAAAATAGTGTCTTTTTGAATTTTTTTTACATTTTTCTTCTTTTATTGACACTTGGCATTATAATTAAATTAAAAACATTTTTCTTCTTTCATTTACACTTTTTTCAAAAAAAGAAAAATACCCCACTCCCTACCTATCATCCTCTTCATACTTTAGTTTGCAAAACATTCTTTATTTTAGCTCCAACATTGTTTTCCTTTCTTTTTTATAAAAAAATAATATTATTTCTTTCAAATATGAAGATAAATGAAAATCAACTATGAAGATTCAGATTTGAAAGAAGTATGATTTATTTCAAATCTCATAAAAATAAGGAACAAATATGAAGAAGAAGAAGAAAGAAGATAAATGATTGTTACATATAAAAAAAGTTAGCCGATATTTGTTTATCAAAATTTTCGAACAAAATTTTTTACTCAAATTCATATATAAACCCATTAAATTTATCAAAAATGATATTCAAAAAATTGAAAGAATTAATTTTTGAGCTATCAATTTCATTTTGTCATCGATGTAGAAATGAATAACCGCCGGCAAAATTTTCTTTCTTCTTCACTCTTAGTATGAAAATGTATATATATATTTTTTTAAAGTTAATCTTCAAGTTATTTGAAAAGAATTAGGTTTTGTGATTTGAGAAAGAATGTGTTTTGGGAAGAAGATGAAGATGAAAGGGGGGTGGGTAGGGGTGGGGTTGGGTAGAATAGGTTGACATTTTCATTTTTTTTTCTTTTTCTTTTAAACAAAATTAGATATAAAAAGTGTTTGAAATAATTTTAAACAAAATTATTTTTTTTTATAATTTCGGGGCCCAGTGCCACATGTTATTTTTTAATTAGCCATTTTACCACGTCACCGCAAGTGTATCACACACTCTTCATATATTTTGCTGATTATAAAAAAATGCCTAATAGGAACAATTTTTATATTGGTAAAAGTGTTCAATAGGTACTAGTCTTAGTTGAGGTGTCTAAGTGAATTATGCGGGCAACTTTAAGAGGCCGCTGATGACTTAAGCCTAAAAACATTCTTAAATTTGATATGACAGTTTTAAGAACACTTCTTTACTTGGGTAACTGAATCTAAATACAATACTGATCTTGTAACATGAGTGAAATACATTTCTATATTCTCGTCAAGTTTAGGAACGTGTTCAACACTTCTCTTAGTTTTTTTTATTAAGAGTCCCATGCTCCTACAAGAGTTTGAGAACACTTGTTATGTCATGTAGCAAATCAGGGGTGTATCTAAATTTAGTTAGTCAAGTAGAGGAGTGTTTTTAAGGCTGTCAATAGTTTGACGACGAAGCTAAAAAATTGTGCCACCTTCAGAGTTTTTCAATACTTCTTTATTATATATTTTTTTTATTGCAATATCCTCATATTTGAGTAGGTAAACGTAAAGAAATGAATGTTGAGGTTCACTCAATTCCAAAAACTAGCTCGAATTATAAGTCATATAAGAAAATTGCTCATTCATTTCTCATCTAATATGAGACTCTTTAATATGAACATCATACCTTGCGGAGCATGTTTAGTTAAATTTCTTCAATTTCAAAAAAGATATCAAATAGTAAAAGCTTTGACTTGCAAAACCCGATAATTAATTAAATTCATGAATTAAGAATTTTGTATTATACTCTTTTCCTAACGCACACAATGAACTAAGTAGATATTTTATTTTTTTTTGTTTTAAACCTTATTAACCATACGTATCTATCTCATTCTCCCTTTACCAACATGTGTTCTTGCTATTACAAAACGTAACAACATATTTAATGAAATTCAATTAATTAGTGGGATCTGGAGAGGATAGAATGCACACAAATTTTATCACTATCTCGTGGAGGTAAAGAGGTTTTCGGAAGATTTTCGGATCAAACTCGAGTAAACATTGAATGTTTATATTTGATGTCATTCAAAATGTGTCTCTTAATTAGATGATGGTGATAGAAGAATGATTGTATGGATTTTAATCAAGAAATTGCCCCAAGGATTATTTATTAGGATATATATCATATGTCGAAACGACATTGATTACCATGACAAAAGACAAATTTGAATATTTTTTTCTTAAGAAGAATTGGCGTGTGAAGTGTATAACATATATTATTTTTTGTTATCGTCATTTAATTTATCTATAATATTTAAAGCTATTGCAAGTTTACTCATTTTGGATTCAACTTTTAAATATACACGACTTAATTTTAAAATTTTCGTTTGATTTTACATACTTTTGTCGAAAGTGTGATCTTGTGAAAGACAAACATTGAATATTTTTTACTGAAGTTTTGTATCTCTTGCCAAAGTTAACTTCAGACATTTTAATTTATTGAAGTTATGAACTTGACAAGGTCAAACTTCAAAGATTTCTACTAAAATTATGACCTTGGCAAATTTCAAACATATAATAATTTACCAAGTCAATTTCCGATATTTTTTACTGAAGTTACTATCATAATATTCCAATATTCTTTTTATTGGAATTGTGGCCTTAACAAGGTCAGGAAATATATATTTGGTCCAACTTTAGAAATATAATACTAAAATTGGATACATAATATGTTTGAAGTTGTCCATATCATATGCAAGAAAATGTGTGTGAAGCAACAATCAAAAAGATGTGAGCAATAACAACTAATCCACTAACTATACTTCACCCCAGAAGAATCACAAATATATGTTGAAATTTGAAAAAATAAAATGAAGATTCCAAAAATATTAATAAAAGAAAAAACCTCAATATTCAATGTATGTAAAATAATGTACCAATGGGAAATGTTGGTCAGTGTAGTGGATATTAGTTAAATTATACAACTTAAATGACAACGTCCAAATAAATATCTTATAAAAAATTGAAAAACTTACAGAAATCATGTCATTAGTGTAGAAATTAATTACTTAGATACACTCTAATTTGTAATATTACAAATTTTACTAGATTTTGATGCGTTCATATACATGTATCTCGGGATACATGAGTCAAAATTATGTGTAATTTGTTTTAAATACATTATATCTAAGTGAATTCACATGTATCTGAGATACATAACAAATTTTGTTCACCACTCTCCTATGTATATGGTATCCCAAATACCCGTGAATCACACCAGATATATACAAATACATATATCTAGTGTGATTCACATGTATCTGAGATACATGACTATCTCACTCGCCTCCCTCCCAATCTCGGTAGACCCACCCCCCCCTCTCTCTCTTTTAGTGTATCTGGTAGCAAATAAATATATATAAAGGTGTATCTTCTTCAATATATGATAGAAAATTCTTAATTAATGATAAAAACACATAATTATTAAAAGTATAAATACAATTGGGCTTGGGTCGGATAAAAGCTTAAATTAAAATTATTAAATTATATCAAATTCGTATTTTCTATACTAGCTCCGCTCCTAAATTTGATTATATTTTAGTTTAGAGAAGAATCTAGTTGTAGATTTTTTGTTTCATTGGGTTCATTGCCATGCATCGAGACTAACATAAATAGTCCTTTACTAAAAATACAAAAGATCTCACAGGTTTCTCTTTTTTCAAGCTTTTTTGTATTTTTCAATAAATATTAACAAATGAGGGGTCCCTTTTTAACATGAAAAATAGAGATATAAATTTTGACTCTATTCTAGTCTTTCTTTTGGTCCACCCCTCTTCACATGCACCTTCTCATTCCCAACACCAAAATTGTATTTTACTTGTGTTAGTGTAAAGTTTTTTATCATTATTTTCCGTATTTTTTAACATGTTATATGAAAATTGACAAGTCATGTTATTTCGAGTTGAGGATCCGAAATAACTTTTTTATCTTCGCGATAGTGATAAAGTTCAGGTTTACCTATCCTTTTTCAAACTCCAAAAGTAGATTTACATACACTAAGTTATGTGTTGTAGTAGTATAACAAATTATGTGCTCCAAACACTATTAATAATTATTTTTTGCTCTCTTCATTTGGTTTATATGATAACTTTTCTTTTTTATTTTAGACTTCATTGACTGATCTATATAGAGTTTTAGGTCAAAAAAATTGTACAAGTATGTCATCAAGTTAGATTATATAAGGTCAGCCTCTAAAATTAAATGATTGCATTATAAAATGTCAACTAAACAAATCGAGTAAGTTCGAATTAACATAATATGAAACCTATTAGGTCAAACGCTTCGTAAGAGAGCAACAATCCACGGATCCCAATTGACACCATCGAATTTGTAATCTCTTTGTGGGACTTGTGTTCCCTCTTCCATTCAATAGCTAAAAATGTTTTGTTTCCGTTCGATTTCATTCCCCTGATGAAATGATTTATGATTATACAAATATAAAATCAGAAAAGTACTTAAAAACAACAAATGTCATTTTATATTAGAATACATAAAGAGACAATTTGGCGTGACCTAGTTCTTAGTGCACCCATAGTCACGCCTTAAAAACTTTCTAATATTTTAGTCATTCTAATTTCCACCACCTTTTTAGCATCCCTATTAAAGCTAAAAGAAACATAATTAGAATAATGCCTAACTAGAAAAAAAAATTAAGTTTTATTTGCAAATTTCACTAAGTAGGAGAAGTAGATGGAGATAAAAAGGAATAAAAAGAGTAATTGTTAATATTAGAGTCACTTCCTAATGTGTCAATTATTTCTAAATATATAAACATAATATTCTTTTTGAGACATATTAAAAAAAACGTGCATCACTTAAAGTCTACCATAACATTTAGTCACATATAAAAAAAAATTCAAATTTCACCAAGGAGGAGAAGAACTATTATAATCATTTCTTGGAGTACCAAGTGACCTAGCATTAAGGATAAACAAAAATTTAAAACTAAATTATTTCTAAATATAGAAAAAAAAAAACTTTTTAAGACAAATTAAAAAGGAACGTATGCCAAATAAACTGGGACAGAGAGATAATATTAGTCATTCTATCACCACCTTTTTAGCATCCCTATTAGTCTATTACATCAACAAAAATAACTAAACAAGAAAATAAAAAGAACTAAACAAACTAAGCTAACAAAGAACATCTAAACAAACCCTAATAAAACAAATTTAAGTACATAGATTATTAATTTTTTTTGCAAATTTTACCAAGAAGGAGAAGTACATGGAGATCCAGAGGAAGAAGTATAATTGTTACTATTAATAGAGCCACTTCTTAGTGAAATTGAACATGCCTCGATTGGAAGTTTCTTCATCGGAGTTAATAGTACTGAAGAAGGTGTACTAGAACATGTTGATATTCCACAATTTTCTTCTCCTTCCTCCGAAGAACTATCAATGATTAATTCGAGACAAGAGGGGGATGTATCTGGCGTTTCAAATGGGGTATCATGATCAATTTTTGTGTTATCATAAATTGGATTTGATATGTAAATAAATTGTTCCTCAATAGTAGTACTACTAGTGCTACATTGATGTGATTGTACTTCATGGACTAATTTAGGGTATGACATATTTTGGACTATTTCAAGATCATCAATGTTGTGATGATCTTTAGTGGAAATTTTAGGAAAGAGGTAAGTTCTTGGAACATGAAGAACCCCTAATTGTGCATAAAAGCTACTATGACTACTTGTAATTGGAGCAATTGATTGACACTCTAGTGGTGGTGGTTGTGTGGTAGAGGTTATTGCGAAATTTGTACCCCTTTTTGACCGTTGACATTGTGGTGATGGTTGTGTGATGGAGGTTGTTCCGGAATTAACAGGTGTTTTTGACCGTTGGCGCCTACTAAGTAAGAGAGAACAAAAAAATTCAACAAGAAAAACTAAGAGTAGGCCTAGAATTATTGCAAGGGTTACCACCATTATTAATATTGCTCCCATTATTATCTTGGAAGTACTAGACTTCATGTGTGTGTGTGTGTGTTTTTGAGAGTGAGGGAATGTTATAAATATATGGGAATTTGGAAGGATTGAGGTAATTTTTTTGGCGGGAAATTATTATTATTATTATTATTTTCTTTATTGTAAGTTGGGACAATAAAGTAAATTTTATCTCAAACTACCTATAATTTGATCAACTTCGACTCCAGTTTGATTATAGGTTTTGAAGTTGAAAATCGAGAACTTGAGAAAAAATATTTTAACTGAATAAATTTTCTGGTCAAACACATATTTGAAGATAAATTTATAAAATCTGATTCAAAATCTATGGTCAAACGCTCGCTCAATCTTTTAGAATTTCCACAAATAGTCATGTTAGCGCATTACTTTTAAGACCACCTGTTAATTTCTTGGAATCTTCCAATTAGTTCTATCGAAATTTTTATACCAGTAGGAAATATAGAGTAATATTCTTTAATTTATTTTCACTTTCATGTTGTATACATTAGTTTAAGATATTTTCAAATGGGGAACTATGATAGACTATGAATTCATATAGTCGATTCTAAATTGTTTTATCGTATGGAATTGTTGTTTCATTTGATACTAGAGTTATGATAAAGAATAGTGGAAAACTAAGTTACTAATAAGCCAAATAACCTTATTAATTAACTCTCATAAAAACAAACCTTTCTGACAGTTTGAAGTCAAAATAGCCAACTTTATATCAACCATTTATTTTATGTTCCAAGAAGGGGAACCTTGGAATAATATAAACTTATTTTCACGTGATGAATCAAATTTTCATTAAAAAGATTTAGAATATAAAAAGTATATATACGAGAGGTCAAAGAAAATTCAATATCTATTATAAATACATAAAAAATAATTTAATCAAATATAATAGTGTAATTTTTTGTTGAAGGAGATTCAAATTAACTCCCTTGACCCTTGCTAGCTTAGCCCCTGCGTGTGATCTATAAGCCACAAATTCGAGTGATAAAAATGTCACTAATACTTATATTAGAATAAACTATCTATATCATACTTCTTAAAACGCGATCCTTCTCCAGACTTTGTATGAACATGAAATACGTTATACACCGAACTATTCTATTTTTCTTATTAAAAGAAGGTTTTGCTTTGGTTTAGAATAGGAAGCACCATTGAGGTGTCTTTCTGAAGGTGACAAATAGTTGTCACAGAGGCCACCTAACAAGTATACAAGTCATTTTCTATTTATTGTCTTTTTTTTCTCATTTTTAATTTTTCAGTGGTAAAAGACAACTTTCTGTTTGATTTTTAATCTTTTATCCAAGAATCCAAAAATTGGAAATTTGTTTTTCTATTACAGAAGACTGATACCTTGTTGAACTTTCTCCTCGAACTGCGAAACAAGTCTATTATAAAATCATTTCTCATTTCTATGCTTAAATTCATATTTTGGCTTCTAGTAATTTTTCTTTTAACATAAACCATAGACAAAAGAAGGGTAAATTAACAAATTTAATGATAACTTATTTTTGAAAAATATAATTCTAAGATGTTACTATATTTACGAAAAATAATAATATTGTTGAGAGTGGAATGAAAAAAATAAATTGTTGAGAGTGGGATTTGAACCCACGCCCTTTCGGACCAGAACCTTAATCTGGCGCCTTAGACCAACTCGGCCATCTCAACAATGTTATTAGGGCTTATTGAATTAGTTATTATAACATAGCATCAAAGGCATTATGATGAAAAGGGTATTTGACCACAGTTAAAAGGAGAGTTTAAATTCATTACTTGTGAGTTGTGACATTTTAGATTATTTATTTTAAGTAGTGGAACATTCACAAATAATAATTTTCAGTTTTTATAATTGAAAAATAGTTGTTATTATTATTAAGTTTTAAATTTCATAAATAGAATTTCAAAATAAAGTATGGAAGATTCAGACGTGAAATTGAAAATTCCATAACATTCAGCATTAACTTTATTGTATGTGCAATGGTTGTAACTTGTAAGTGATAGCAGCTCAATATTGTTTAACATTTTAACAAAAATATCAAATGAGCAGTTTAAATTGAATTTAATCAAAATAAAATAGGTTTAATTTATCAAATATTTGAATTAAAATAGGTTGAACTAAAACGAATTGTAATCGGACTAAATTTAAGCCGATTGAATCATATTTTTATAGACTAAATTTATCATTTCTAAACGAGTTGTGGATATGGCTTCCATATGAATATCAGTGTAGGCCTTTACTTTTAGGCCCATGATATAAAGCCCTTATGGATATGCAGACTTCTTTTGTTTTAGCCTTTCAGCCAAGTCTTCTCTACTGGTTTACTGAGGTCGGAATCAAAATTCTCACTAAAAGAAATTAAAATACGAAAAGGTATTTATATATATATTTTTTATTTTTATTTTTTAAAAAAAAAAAAAAAAAAAATTTTATACTTGTAAAGAAAGTCAATGAACTTTTTTAAAACTAAATCGACGGAAGTGCGTCTATTTTTCTTTTAAAGGAAAATCAACAAACTTCTATGGAGTACTTTTATGCAAAAATACATGAATACCACAAAAAAAAAACGAACATTGATTTTTACTCTATTGCAAGTTATTACTAAAGGATGTCTGTCAATTTTGACCATCAATTTCCGATCTATTTTTAGTAATGGGAATAAAGAAAATTAATCGACGCCTCTTCACCAAAAAAGTTTTACTATGTAAATCATACTAGTTTCTCATTTTATTTCTTCTATTTGATTGTGGCAACACAAAATTGAACTTTCCAACAAAAAGTTCTATACATCCCCCCTGCCGACTTGGGTGAAGGTAACGTTCGAATTACGGTTTCAATCGAATTCAATAAAAATATTTTATATATATTAATTTAAATATTAGTATGCGAAGCAGCTATTCAAAAATTAGAAGTTATAAAGTTCAAATTTTAATTTTACTTGTGATAATAACATGATATATAAAATAATTAGGAACAATTTAATATATAAAGTATCTGGCGTTTGATTTTATAGGGGTGGAACTAGGAATAACCAAGGGGGTTTAAATATAAACACTCTTTAATGGAAGATTGCACCACTTATAATTTGTTAAAATTATTTTTATGCATATATAATAGATGGTGAATTTCTTTCAATTTATTTGTATATTTACTTCTTTATATTTTGATCACATCACTGATTTCATAACTCTTGACGTGGCATGCTAAGATGTGGATATCAATATGTAGAATGAAAAGAATCAAATGGAGCAAATTATAGCAATACACTTGTGAGAGGCACCATTAAATTATTAATACCATAATAGGAAATTTGATTATTGACACATATTATAAACTTGACATAAAATTTGGAAATGGAAATTATAATTAATGGACAACTTCACCAATAGTTTTTCAACATTTAGCATGTAGCTAGATTTGACAAATCATGAGGAGTTTCAAGTTTTTGTAAAGCTTTTATATTTGATTAAGATGTGTCATTCCCTTATTTGAGTACTTGTGTTGTTAAAATTTACTACCTCATTTCGTTTAATTTATTATCTTATTTTTCTTTTAATTAAAACTAATATACATAAGTTAAACTTATCTCTAAAATAAGTAGATTAATTCCAATTGTCATATCAGTATAGAGGTAGAATTAATATTTGAAGTTTATCTATTCAAAATTTTAATCTTTTAAATCGAAGTAAATCCAATCGAATCTATAACTGAAATGTTAGCTCCGCCCAATTATGTCAATGTCATTACATTTATAACTTGATTTTGACAATTCCAATAACCCACGTGGCACATGTTGTTTAGCCAGAAGGACTATTTATTGGCAACTATCAATCTTCATGTCAAGATTCCCACATATATAAATTCACATGGTAAAGTCACCAAAATGTTGGGAAAATTATATGATTGATCAAAGTTAGGGATGAATTGTGAAAAGGCAAAAAAAAATCCAAATTTTTCCTTCTAATAAGATGTTTGGATCAAATGTATTTATATCATCATTTAAAGAAGTTGTGTAGAGGTTTGACCTGCTATTGATAATCAAAGAAAAATTTGTATCGTTAAAAGTTTAAAATATTAGTTATCGTCAAAACAATTTTTTCTTCATTAAAATTTTGAATCAAATTCAGACCATTTCACATAGCTTAAGGTCAAACTCTTCATAAATTTCAGTTGTGCTCATATAGTCATATTATTTATCGTAAGAATTTGACATAATCTTTCTCCACCCCTTTTTTATCACTTTCAAATCAAATTTCGACTTGCAGTAATATAAACCACATCATTTCATTATTCTTCTTCTATTTAACTATTTTCCCTTTGTAAGAAACTAACTCTCGCGTATTGAAAAGCTTTGTCCTTAGTAAATAATAATATATTCAGATTAAATTTAAAAAGACATAAGTATATTTTAACCTAAATTATTTATAAAGGGCAAATTTAAATTAGCTTGCGAAAATTCAAGAGCAAATTTGACATCTTACTTTCCTTTAATGAGAGTCGACTCTCTGTAAAATACTCGTTTAGTCGATGACTTTCAAACGCAAAAAAAAAAAACAAATAAATATGTGGACATTGCAAAAAATGGCCAAATTATGGCATGTGGCTGATAATACAACCAATTTATTATATACAGTAGACTTAATAGGTGACACGTAGTGCACTAAAAGTTGTACAAAGTGCTTAGAGATGGGGACATTGCAATATGTGGCCAAAATATAATTTCCACAAAGTGAAAGACATATGTCTTTTTTATTATAAAATGGAAAAAATAAATGAAGAGGCATCTGACCATTGATATGTACAATGAACTAAAGTGAATTAAAATAGTGTTGGTGATGCCTACTTTGGCTTTTGTATAAACCCTACTGTCCCTCTAGATATTCCAATTCCAATTCCATTATCATCTCGATAGGGTTGTGGTGGACTGATAAATACTCATCATTCTTAATTAGAGGTTTCAAGTTTGCGTCCTCTTAGATACAAAATTACTTTTGTTAGGGAGCGTTTTATCTCC